TCATAGATAAGGTACTGTATAAATGCATAATGAATCTCTGTCTGATAATAATTGAGTATGCCATTGATGTTCTTTGCACCAAAAGTCACTTTGAAACAGAAAATATTTATGTAAAAATATTCTATCTCGATATGTGCTGCTGCAACTGAATTTAAATTTGAAAATATTTAAATAAGGTAATGAAGATTTTATTAAATTTTTCCATTGATTAGGACTGATCATATCAATGTTATCATCTGCAGATATTGTTAAACTTATTTAATTTGGTATTTGTTTTGCAAAGATTGAAAAATCTTCAAAATGAATACTTAAATTTACCAATAATCAATTGTTTTAGATGAATAGCATTATATTTATCAAGAATTGCATTATTCTTTATTTATCGATTATATTTGGAAACATATTCAATGTTGAAATATTTTAACATAAGAACATATTTAAATAATTGATATAATAATTGCTCCAAAGAACAACTAGAAATTGTTAAATGTGTAATTATTGTAGGTTGTTAAATATGTATTAGAAAAGATCGTAGTGTTAGTAGAGATAATCGTCGTAAATTAGACATTGGAAGAACAGATATAATTTCATCTTCATCATAATGAGAAGAAATTAGATGAAAAGTGTATAATTTAGATGATATTGGTAACATTGATTTCAATTTGAGTTAATGTTAATGAATAAAGATTAGAAAACTTGTTGAGCAGAAAACGTAATAAAAATGTTTTGATTTGACCACATGCATCTTTATTTGATAAATGTAATGAATAAATTTGTTGTTTAATTTTTGAATTTGATAATTTTTGTTGACAAAATTGAAAAAGTTTTGTTTTACGAACATTTTGAAAATTGAGATGTATTGGAATAGTTCGAAGAAGTTTATAAAAACGATAATTTAATTGATCAAATGAATGAAATATATCAAACATACTGAGATATTCAAAGCATTCAATTAATATTTCGTTTGGTAATAGTTCAAATTTCATGACGATTACTAATCAACATACAATAGAAAGAATTCCAAAAATGTTCTTCGTCTGTTGTTCTCATCCTATAGGAAACAAAGAATCATGATGACTCACATTTGAAACAATGCCTTTTATGATAAGAACAAAATAAGTCTTGTGTACATTAGATTTACTATTTATTCTTGATATAGAAAACAAAATATCTTTACAGTTTTATATTGAAATGTCTATCATTAGATTTATATACAATATTTAATGACAAAGAGCTAGAAAATCGACAAAACGCTAGAGAAACAGTCACCTAACAGTTTTTACATATTTTGAATCTTTACTCTTGTGACATTTCGTGCAACCTTTCCAGTTCTTTTTCTTACACTGGCAGTGATTTATGTTGCAATCGCCAGTGCTTTCAGCGCGATGCTCACTGCTCAGTATTTCAAGCAGGATTATCACCTCCTCCGCTTTTTGATATAATTTTTTTTTTATATTTCCAATTCGGTAGAGAAGAGAACCTGTTCTCATTGAATAAATCGTGATCAATGACATGTACAGTTTGTTATCATTCTTATTGATTGATCTGCTCACTCAGTGCAATAACATTAAAACTTATTCTATGGAAGAGAGGCTCTGCTCTCCACTTCTATTCGTTAAGTAAAAGCACAATTCTGCTTTCAATCACTAGTTAACTGGATTAACCTGCTTACTTTTCGTGCTTTGCTTACACAGAAAAATCTCAAATTCGAATATCTAAACAATTTTTATGTGATCAAGTGATAGCGGGATAATAAATAAATATGAAAATAAAAACTTGAAAGTCATAGCAGATGCTTTCGAAAAGAAGAAGAAAAAAGTATGAGTATGGATATGAATGCCTGTGTACATCTTCTCTTCGGGGACATACTACCCACACCCACACCCCGTGACAACCGTGATTTCAAGGCACCCCTCATGCAGGGTGATGCCTAATTATATAGCAATCGAAAGAACGTAGAATTTACACTAAAATCTATACAGAGTTTCATCTTATAGTTCTTTATCTGGGTTTGGGGTGTGGGTCTGGGTGGTTGTATGTTTGTTGATATCTTTGCACCAGCAGCGATGCATTCTCAGTACCTGGTTTCGTTCTCACTCTAAGCGAAGAGTTACTCACCTGGACAATCGACGAGATTTAAGTGAATGAACCACTGAAGTTGACCTTTTATTTATAGCGCTGAACAAGAGAGTGATTGAAAGAATCTTTTTTTTCCTATATTTTCTCTGGAATCCCTTGATTTGATTGGTCAATGAAGCGGTGGCGCGAATTGTTCACAGTGATTGGTCAATTGTTGTACGAATAGGTATGTAAGGAAGAAAAGAGAAACGGCAAGGGAATGTTTTTGTATGATGATTGGTTAGACTAACGGATAACGGTATTGTTCGTGAGATCAAGTGAACCGAAATGAGAAAAATGAAGATAGAACGTGATAACGTAGGGAGCATAATAGGTGCATGTTTAAAAATCGGCGCTGTGCCAAGAAGTGAAAAAGTAAATATTTATCGCTGTGTGTTTTGTTGAATAACGTAAATAAGAAAGTAATGCAAAGAAGTTGAAGTTCCATCAGATAGTATATGATTAAGTTTTATGTCTGGGTTTCTGGAAAACGAATTTTGAATGAGTAGTTTTTGGACTAACCGCTTGTTGAATGGATAGGCTCCATATTTAGTTTGCTATGGTTACAGTAGGAGCATGCTCAATCCGTCGTACTCATCTATGATCAATTTTGTATAGATACTGTTTAATTATAATTGAAGAATAAATGAATATAGGATAACAAAAAATCAATATGCTACCAGTAACAAACAAGATTACATGTAGTTACCAAAAACTGGTTCCTATTTTGAATGCTGCCATGCATTGTTTGATATGCCATTTGATCTCACAATATCATCATTACACAAAACGAAATACTGGAATCCTATAATTCAGCTATAATTATTTCGAAAACTTAATTCAATTTTCAACTATATGTTTTGACCACGAAATGATACACACTACATCTCTCTTGAAATATCAAGCTTGAAAATTTGAAATTTTAATTGGAAACTGAAAGTGCCAATTAAGGTGGATTCTTCTAAAGATTTTTCTGCTGAGAAAATTAAAAAGCCAAACTGACAAATGCTTTGAGTGTGAAAATATCTCTAAAAGAGAAAATGCTGCTGCCAGAATTGTATATTTGGAATATATCACGTGCTGCGTTGTTTTAAGAAAAAAGTACTGCTATCGCACAACTATTAACACACTGGCATAGAACAACATTCAAAAGAGGACCAACCATTTAAGCATCAAATTGGAGTCGATTGATTGTTAGTATACCAGTGGTTCTTTCTCACTATTAGTAAACACAGGTCAACGTAACACATATAACATCGAACGATATACCGGTGATTTTTGTTCGGTTGGAATCACATGGATACTCTTATGAAAAATGCATCAAATATTGGTAAGAAGAGTTCCCATGTGTATAACTGATCCCTTCAACGTTTTTTTTTCAAATGTCTTTTACAGATAATGCGAATTGGTAATGTTAAATCAGGATAAATTAATAATGCTTCAAATGAGTCTTGATAAATTTGAAAATTTTCATCAAATAATAATTTTAAATTTTTACAAAAACCTTTAATAAAATATCTCAAACGAAATAATGCTTCGATATTTTCAGTTGTTAAAGCTTTATTATAAATTGATATAAAAAAAAGTCTTTTGCATACCAACGTATAGCTTCAAATTATTTATATGTCTGTTCAAACGTATTAATGTCTTCGAGATATTTTTTATTTAATCGATAAAACGATCGACAATAACCAATTAGGTCTTTATATAATGAAATATTCAAACAGAATATAAAAACTGTTTCAATCTTCTCATTATCATGGGTTCGACGTCATATTTCACGAGAATATCAATCAACAATAATTAAAATAATTTTTTGTTTATTTCTAATATTCTCTATAATGTAAGTCATTTCGTCAAATGAATGATAAATTTGTATGTGATCATGTGATTGTTCTAACATACATTTTATTTCCTCAGCGACTTTATCATCGAACCATATTATTATTAGATCTTCTATGTATCTAAATGTAAATTCATTGTTGGATTCATCGATTTCTTCCTTTGTTATTAAACGCTTCATATTCAGATGTTATAATCTAAATACTTGTATCAATCATGAATAGTGCGAAGTAAGAAAAACAAAAGCAACCAATTATTACTATTTTCTAGTAAGCTATAGCGAAGTTCGAATTAAAATCTCCACGTCAATCTCAATAATTAAATATATCTGTTGAAGATTAAAGAATTATATTGTTAAAACTTTATGAAAAGTTGGTTTGACTTTCATTGAATATAAGAGATTTAAAAACATATATAATTACTTATTGATGATTAAGATGTATTGAGAAAAGTCATCAATTGCTTTTTTCCAACTTCTTTTTTTCCTTTCTATTTTGAGATGTAGTTGACAATCTTCTTTTTATCCATATCTACACTGACACCCTGAAAAAGATTCTTTGTAAACATTTTATTACACAATGAACGAAATAAAAAGCTGTTCTCATGAGTCACACTGTGACTAGAGACGGTAACAATTTACAATCAAAATTTTCAACAGTTATTCTTGTTTGTCATTAATTATTCGGTAGTAAATCATTATTGACCCACCACAAACCGTGACAGACGGGCTTCACAGACTACTACAGATCTTGATAGATCTTTTGCTACAGGGTTGGCAATTATATGTCACTAGAATCTCATGAGAATATATCAGCTGCTTCCTTATTTCAGTTCTAGAGAATTAAGTAAAAAATGATGAATAAGTGGGTTCCAAGGTATATCGAAGGAAACAATGTTTGCTGGCTAATGACAACAGCTACATCACGTTTCACATTTTAATCTTGCAGGCATTGCGCTAACATCATTTTTTTTGTAAAGTATCATCAAAGGTAATCGAGATCAAGAAATTCAACTCTGTAATCGGCTTCTCAAAATTTTTTATTTCGATTTATTTTATCTAAAATAATTTATTGCGTAAAGAAAAAATTCTTATTAAAAATGCCTTTTTAGTAAAAAAAAAAGAATCAACCTCGAAATTTTGAGAAATCGATGACAAATTCTGATTCCTTGATCCCGATCACTTTTGGTCAAACTTTATAAAAAAAACCGTTATTTTTCTAAAAATGTCTTTCGTTTGATAACCTTGCAAAGCTTCCGTTGCTAATTACTTGATAACGTTATTGACAAGTAACTGTAGCTTTCCTCCGCTATTTTAGACAGAAAATACGGTGATGCTCATCTGAGAGCTTATGAGCGTGAGCCACACAGCTGCAGTTAGCCCGCCCAACTGTACCCAACAATGAAAATATCAAAGAGAAAAAAGTTTATTCCATTTTTGAATTGCTCGCATCCTATTACTACTCAAAAACTCTTGAATTTGAAAATCAAATGCGTTCATCGATGATTTAATTCTACATTTTAATGAACTCATTATATGCGTGAGTTGGTGAATACTTTTTTCTAAAAAAATTCAACGGCAATCTACGCCATACTTTCTGATGTTAAAAGAGATAATTTATTCTGACTGACTCAAAACGAAGCAAATCGTTGCAGGTAACGACAAGATAAACGCAAACTCTCCAACGATTAATTAATCGTTCGAAGTGAGAGAGGAGCGTTCAAGTAACAGATAGCGCTGACTTCGAAGAAGATTTGTTATTCATGAATTACAAAGGGCTGCTTGTAAACGAAAGCAACTAACATTCAACCTAATCCCAAGTCAATCGTTCCGACCACCGGATACTGCAGAAACCGCAGAAAAATGCGGGAAAAATCACCGTAACCTGCGGGAAAACACGGAAAATAGCGGGAACTGGAAGCAGTATTCCGGCCGGGAATTTTCGGAATTTTTTCCGGCGATTTCTGGTATTTTCCTGCCGAAACTGGTCCGCACTTTTCGAGTTGGGATCTGAATTGAAAAATAAGTGCTTATGTTGATTATCTTCGATAGGTAATGAAGTAATAATCCAATTTGAAGATTTCACAGCGACTTTTCGTTAATAATCTACGAGCCATAGTTGGACAAAGATTGACGCTAAGTTATCAGTGTTGGATGAATAGAATTGGCCTTTACTGAAATTGAGACGTATCTGTTGAAGAATATCAAGGGTCTATGTCCTAGGATGAATCAGACAAGTTTCAAAAACTACATCGAATTAATCTCGGTCAACTCATCGAATATATGTAACCATCAAAAGCGTTCAATGCATATTACTACGTCTTCTAGCGGAATATTAAAATTGCT